TTTTTTTCTCAAATATTTTAACACATGTTTTCCTTCTGTGCTTAGAGTGATGAGTGTTTGGGTTTAGATGTGTGTATGTGTATGGAGCTGTGTGTATGAATGTACTCAGCGAGGCACACCCATGGTTAACCTCAGGGTTGGGCGTACTGTTACTCAGGATGTGACAAACCAGTCAGCACATGGCATCAGTCCCACTCCTCTGCTTCGCTCCAATATCATCCCGCTCCTTTTCTGTGTGATGACAAATAAATGTTTTTCTCACAAATAGCCTCGGCATCACTTCACTGGATTAGCTATTGTGCTAGCTGCAGCCATGTCTGCAACACAGTGATTCAGCTTTAAAGCATGACGCTGCAGTGGAGGTGTGGGTCAGAGAAAAGAGTAGAGAGAGGGATGGGGAGGGCATTGGTACCTGCACTGTCAGCAGCATCTACAAACTCCATCCATCTTTTTGTGCTCCCCCCCTCCCTCTCCTTTACTTGTGTTCTCACACCAGCTCATTTACTGTTTCCCGTGGGGTTTTTTGAATTGCATAGTCATTGCTCTAAATCAATAGCTGAAATGGCATCTACATTAAGGTCAGCCATGTACTTATTTCAATTACTTTATTAAGTGATGCATCACTTAATTGACACATGTGTGATAGACACTATATGGTAAGTCATGACTGACAAAGGCAATCATAATTGAGCCCAAAATTGTGTTTTTTTTTCTCTCTGCAGCCCAAACTGATGGCAAAGGACTTGCTGGACCTTGTGGCCTCCCACTTCAACCTCAAAGAGAAGGAATACTTTGGAATTGCATATACAGATGAAACGTAAGGCAAATTCAAAAATATCTGGCTAAGTCTTACCGTAAGTATTTTTCAGGGCTTTATTTAAATGGGAGTGTTGTTTTTTTTTTTTTATTGCCTCTAAGCCTGGCCACTGTAGAAACATCTGCAATAAATTCATACTGAGATCCTGCATTATACTTACAAATGTTGAGCCTTAGAAGTAGTAAAAACTCCAGACAAAATAGAATTTTGACTAATGTGCATTGACATAGAACACATCCTAATGTAATTCTGTAATGTAACTACATGTACACTTAGCTGTTTACAGTAGAACTATGAAACTGTACCATTATAAAAATATTATTTTATTTGTATGTATATATATATATATATATATATATTTTTTTTTTTTTTTTTTGATAAAGCCAAATGGACAGATGCAATATATTTATATTACAGTTATTTTAGTCAAACAGAACTGATTTTTTTTAAATATGCATTTTTTACACTTGATGAAGAGTAAATTCCTTTTAAGATAAAACTTCTAATATAAGCTCATATATAAAAGCTGAACTCAAAGAAGATATGGAATATAGTGAGTGTATTGTTGCAATCTATGAAAAAAGTAAGTATAAAATAAAGAATTTATAAATAATATGAACAGTAATTAAATAATAAATAACTGTTATTTTCTACCAAACAAATTTATGAAGCAGACCTCCTTGTTATGAAATGCACCAATGGCATGGCATTAATGCTTTTAGGTTTTCTTTTGAATGTGGAAGATTGCTTTTGAATTGCAAAAGTGACATTCAAATTAGTTGTACTTTGGACAAAGCACAAAGGCACAGTAGCCATGCAAATATATCAGTGATTTACATACTCACAAACATCAGATTTTTTTTTTTTTGTTGTTGTTGTTTTTTTGCTTATGTGCAAATTTTGATATCAAGTAGGATTGACCCCAGTGCCCATTGACACATGTGATAGACACTGTTAGTAACGCAAGCCCAGCAAAGTAACACCAGCTGTCCACTGGAGGAATCCCATCATATGTAGATTTGTTACGTTTGTTCACAGAGAGAGAGAGCAGACAATTCAGCTCATGCTGTTCAGCTGTCAAGAAGGGTTGGGGTTGTGTTTGGTGGGAGGAGGGACCAATGACAGGAGAGAGAAGGAGGGTCGTTTGAGAGAGATGTTGCTCTGGAGACCATGTAGGGTTACCAGGGTGACAAGCCGTCACTGCAGTTTTTCTCTCAGTTGGAAACAGAAGGAGAAAAGTGAGAAGGGGAACGTCTTACCTTCCCAACTTCCTTAACATTCTTACATTCACCTTAGCTTAAAAGTAATTGTGCACTGCATGAACCTCAAGACATGTCAGGTTGCAACTTGTTTGCTTTACTTTACATGTTGAGAAACTTGCATTCTTCAATTAGAACTTTCCAGAAGAAAAGCAAAGTTTTTACCATTTATAATGTTGCCATATTTATATAACCCTGATAATTTTAGGTCATGAATTGCTGTAAAATAAGTTTGTAAACAAGTCCTGGTTTGCCATTCTTGTCTATTGTGCCATTCTTTAAAATTCTTAAGGCACAACGTGTTGGGTAAAAGGCCAATATCGTCTTGTTCAAATATTTAAGAATATCTCTAAAAGTTGTTGTCTTAAAGCAATGACTTTACACAGGGCAATTCGTTTAATATGTTTCATTAGCTAATTACAATCCTACATGTTTTGCGTGGAAATTTTAACTTTATGAAGAGATGTTAAGGTGATTACTCTAACTATAGGTTTTTAAAAAAAAAAAGTCATAAGGAGCTCAGTGAAAGAGGCTAAAGAAAATATTCATGTTCTAAAAAGATTTGTCTGCAGCTCACTTTACTGCTGAATAACCTGGAGAATTACTGGCAGTTCATTTGTATGATTTGTTTGTATCTGCATTGAAAATAAAATTATATTCAAATACCTAGATAGGCAGACAAACCATGATATTTAGTCTTATTACAATCTGATTGATGAACACCTGTGGTTAATGGCATTGACTGGTTGTTTTTGTCTTCAGGGGCCACTTCAGTTGGCTTCAGCTGGACCGACGGGTATTGGAGCATGAATTCCCTAAAAAGTCTGGTCCTATTGTTCTCTACTTCTGTGTCAGGTGAGTCTCTCTTTCATCTTCTAATTAGCCCTGTGGAAAAAGAACAGAAGACTGTGTGTGCTAGCATATGTGTGCGTTTGTGCATGCACATACACTAGATTCATGAATTGCAGGAACGGATTAATAAGATTAGTTATGAAATGGCTTTGACCTCGGTGCTTAACTCCCGCCACAGAGTCTCTCAGCCAATCATGAGCCTCTTAAACCTCATCAGTATGCTTTGCATGGTAATCTTATGCAAATTGACTTGTGGAACCAAGAATACACTTTAAAAGAAGGCAAAAAAATGTGAAATATAGGAAATTATCTAATAGATTTCATGATCAGACATAGACAAAGGCAGTTTTTTAATTATTTAGCACAGATAAGATCAGCCAAAATCAATGTTTTTCAGGCATGAATAATCGTTTCAAGGTCATGCAACAAGATCTCAGTTAAACATTCTAAAACCTTCATTATTATTTTTTTGTTGTTGTTTAGACATAGACTTACTGGTGCGCTTTGGATCCTTGTCCTGTGGCAAAACCCAGGTGTGCTTGAGCTTAAGACCAAAAACTGAGGGGCGGATAGTCTATTTTAAAATTTCCTTGCCTCTCCTAGGAAGATCCACCACTAATCTGTTTTATCTATTTTTGGATAACCCTGACTTTGGCTTACTAGAATCTCAAAGCCTAGAAAAAGTTTTGTAGCTCCCACCAAGTTGATAGTGTTTTATTTTCCATCTTTAGATGGGGCCTGGTTTATTGTATTTTAGCCTAATTGCTGTTGTTAGAGAGGTTTGTTTTTTTCATAACCTACAGGTGACGCAGTTAACAGCTCTGGATATGACTGGAGAAGCTGAACTTAGCTGTGTGGTTAATAACAGTTACTTTATAAGTACATATGTAACTCTGGGAAAAGGAAAATCTGAATGAATCTGGTAGGGGGCAAATACTCTCTCACAGTGCTGGATATAGACGATATAATCTATATTGTAGGTTTTTCCAGTACAATATTTAAAATCAGAAAAGAGAAATGTTGATTGAAATATAATCACAAACAGATTAACCTGGAAAACCCTAAAAGTGAAACTGTTTGTCCTGGTATACCATTTATTTCAGAGTCCAACCCAAATAGTAGTCTTTGTTAAAAACATACCTGATGCATTTTAACAACCTTGAACGGTGTTATTGTTTAGATATTTCCTGGATGACATTTACAACACAGCTAATGACACAATGAGCCTGCTGTGCACCATAGCTCCATTCTCTGCACATGCTCATATTTGGAGAACAATGGCTTTGGCACACAATGCAACCGCGATGTGGTTTAAATGTGCAGATTTCATTGATAACTGCTGACTCGAGACCCTGTCTGTATCAAATGTCAGGCACTGAATTGTTTTAAACAACCAAGTGTGTATGTGGCGGTGGCGGCTTGGGCAGGTTGAAGGATGAGGGTCTCTCTTTGTGTATTTACATAGACTAATAGGTGTTTGAGGTTGGGGCGGGGATGCTGTGAACTTTGACTCCATTTCGAGGCTGCGTCCCCTTTTCTCCTCCCAACACAGTTCAAGCCAGCCGCTAACCTCAATCTCTGAAAATGTCACACTGGGTGAAACCTCTTTCAAATACTTCCCAGCCGCATTTTTTAAATTCATTCAGTGGAGATGCACACTCCAGAGATTGCTTGAAAAGCAATCATTCCAAATGTCAGACCTTTATCTATTATCGGTCTCACCATATAGTCCAATGGGCACAATTTTCCAGAATTTGTGTCTTTCTCTGTGCCTGAACGTGACACACTTTGCATGCTTATGTGGTATTTATGTTTTGTTTGCTGTAGTTTTATGTTGTTTATCTCTTTGAAGAACCTCGAATAATGTGTTACAACAACATTTAATTTCCCTATGGGATTACTAATTTTTTTTTTTTTTAATTGAATAAATGTGCAGCATGCCTGCCTCAGGAGGTGATCTTGTTGTGTGTCTCATTTGCACTGTGGCTTTAATTAAATGTTCACACAGAATATTGACGTAGCTCCTCTCATTCTCTCTTGCTGCTCAATAAGTAAAGCGATTCAAAACCCTCAACTATTGATGTCCACTGCAACCCTTCACACTCAATACCTATACACACTCATTCACATCTACCCACTGATTCAAAAGTACTTACAGCAATATGTGCTTAGTTCTCATTATACGTACCCATCTCACTGACATAGTTTTCTTCTTTTAGGGGGAGGGTGGGGAAGATCACCGCCAATTAAGTTTAGATGTTGGTCATTCTGAAACATGATTATTCTTTAATCTTAAACAAGTCAGTGGAGCTGTCACTATATGTTTAAGGTCTCTGTCCTACTGGAGAGGGGACCTTCACCCAGTCTCAAGTCTTTTGCAGCCTGTAGCAGGTTTTCCTCCAGGATTGTCCTGCATTTAGTTCCATACATTTTCCCATAAATTCAAACAAGCTTCAATGTCCCTGTTGAAGAAAATCATTCCTACAGCATAATGCTGCTACTGCCAGCTTGTCATGGGTCAAAACACCCAACCCATCTTGTCCCATTCAGTTTGCAGTACCGTATTTTCCGAACTATAAGGAGCACCTGAAAACCATCAGTTTCCTCAAAAGCGACAGTGCGCCTTATATATGGACCGATATTGAGCCACAACAGGTCTAGCATCTACGGTAAGCAGCCTCAGACTTCTTTTTTGCCCGTAGAAGAAGAAGCGTGCAGTGCATGCTGGGATAGTTGTCAGAACGTTGGTTTGTAATCTATTAATAAAGTTTGACTGACCTATCTACCTACCGACCGTCTAGAATCAGGTTGTCTGCAGGTCATTTAGCACCACGTTCTCCACGAACATGCTGTGCGCGAATGGTGAAGGGTGACCATCGTCCGGCCACGCCCCGGCCCAGTCGCGGAAGGCTCTCCTCGCCGACCGGAGTTGGACTGTTTTGTTGACATTCCCTTTAGTCTAGCTCCATCTAGTAGATGCATAACGTAACTCCAGCCTCTACTGTAGCGTCTATTCTATGCCCCTTATAATACGGTGCGCCTTATATATGAAAAAAGTTTTAAAATAAGCCATTCATTGAAGGTGCCCCTTATAATCCGGTGCGCCTTACAGTGGAGAAAATACGGTAAATATTTGCCAAAATTTCAAATATCGCATCACAAAAAAATGCACTGAATGAGCTTCTCTAGACATTTAGAGTTATGTTGGAGTTACAATGGCCGCACAAATGAGCACAAGAGAAATGCAACAATCAGGATTTCCATGTTTGTTTTCATGCTGGGTCTGTGCTCTGTCCCGCCCCCTTCATTTCTGTCCAGTGGGAGCAATGATCGGCACCCGCGTGGCTTTGTTTACAAGTTACGGTTCCCTTGCAAAAAAGCAGAATGTGAAAGCAAACTGCACTAAAAAGAGTCTACTTTTTGTCCGTACTGCCCTGGATGTATACACTCGTACATTCTTGTATTTGTTGTGTCACACTGTATTTCAAATTTTATAAGATTTCAACGCTTTTCTTTCAAGCCATTCTTTCATAATGCCAGATTTTGAAGTTTGTTCTCTGGTTTTGAAGTCGCTGTTTATTCATGAATGCTCCCTAACAAACCTTTTAGGCCTTCACAGAACACCTGTGTTTGTACTAAATTTCACTCGGAGGGATAACATTTACTGATTAGGTGTCTCTTAAAGGCATTTGGTTGCACTGGAATTTATTCAGGAGTGTAACATTAAGTGGGAGCCTAACACAGATGCAAACCAAATTCTGTCTTTAAAGATTCAAAAACCATGCAGTGTTATGCGAGGTTGCATAAAATTCCAATATAATTCACAGATGGTTGTAAGTGCCAACAATATGAACAAGTTTAATTTATGAGTGCTTTTGCTGTGCGTGATTACTGTAGTGCACAAATTTATGCCTGTGAGAGACTTGATAATTCAAAGTGCAAAAACATGTGAAGGGGCATGCGAGAGCATCTGTAGTGCACAGAATCTTTTTGATACATTTCCACTCGAGTAGCTAACAATGTGTAGCCTCCCAGTGCACCACCCTTGCTCCCCTCTGGGTCTGCATGCATTCATGAGCTAAATTTAGTCGGCATTATTATGTTACTACCCTGCTCACCGATCTGCCAGAAGTAGGTTACTGTGCTTCTCTCTCCAGTGTTGCTGAGAGTGTGTGTTTTTGTACTGGCTCACTCCTGGTGCTGCACAGCGGTAGAGATAATGTGCACATTTAAAGTCTATCAGCGTACGTGCAGGTGTCTCCATATTCAGATTGTGGGAATGTACAGACGATAACAGGCTAATAGTGGATTATTGCCAACTAACATGGTGAGAGGGATACTTCGTGCAGAACAAGAGTGAAGAGATGCTTGTTGTACCGCTTTCGCCCTTGGTATGGTGTGCCCCCCTCTGGTCATTTTAATTGTTGCACTCTATCGCAATTGAATATAAAAGCCAAAGCATTTATGTTTTGTATTAGTTTTTAGAACTAATAAAGAAGAGAATGAAACTTGGAGATGTTATTCATCAACTTCACTGACATGCTTCAGAGTTTTCATGTTCAACTTTCTTTCTGTGCTTTTAGGTTTTACATTGAAAGTATTTCCTACCTGAAGGACAATGCAACAATCGAGCTGTTCTTTCTTAATGCAAAGTCCATCATATACAAGGTAAACACTTCACGCTGTTTTAATTTTACGTTTGAAATATCATTGACATACTATGTGGATGTGTTTATATGGGTAATCCAAACCCCTTTGAATTGAAGGTGTCATTAAAACGCTTTTGTGTACTCATCACTGACATGGCAAAACAAAAATATTTTGTTAAATATCCTTTAGCAAATTGCAGAGAAGTCACACATTTTCTGTATCTATCAACCTACATGTCTCTCTTTGTGTTTTGTGAAACCTACAAATATTGCTACTCACCGTATATGTGAGTAGCAATGCAAGACTTCAGAAAATCTGTTTAAAATCCAAATTGGTATCATTAACTCATATTTTCTAAAATGATTTTTTTTGTTCTTTAATCATTCCGTCCTGAAAAGAACTATTCAAATTCATGAACAAAATTTTATTTTATTTTGGCAAGCTTAGTGTGCATTAATGTTGGACTGCAATTATTTTAAAAAATGTATTTGATTTAAAATGATTTTAGTCTCAGAAGTTGCTCAAGGGATGTTTTTAGGTGAAGCTTTGATGATGACATGGTGTTTTGGAGGCATGTTTCCTTTTAGTCTCATTTTTGACCTAAATGATGAGATGCCACATGAGGAAAGTTTGGCTTTTCATCCTACATGCTGTGTTCATGGAGCAGAGAATGCGAGCAGTTTGCATCAGCTGTTAGCCATCACGCTGCGTGCTGCTCCACATTCCAGCAGCTAACGAATGACTTGACACATTTACTGCTGTATGGCACTGCTGAAGCACATTTATTCAGGCTTAGCAAATGCCAGTTGAAAATATATACTGGGGTTAACTGCGACAAAGAGCTACAAAGGTAGAAAACGTAAACTGCTGAAATCAAGTAGCAAATAAATTACTGCTCAATGTACCATGTAAATGTGGTCTGCCAAAACACCACTGCATTTATTGACAGCTGTGTCTAGCAGTTGTGTATTTTGTCCAGAAGAGGGCGTATGCAGCAGCTTCAAGACGTTATTCCTGTCACTTATTTAATTCAAAAAGAGAAATTCATAATAAATAGATTCCTTATTGCCAGAGTGATATAATGTGTTCCTGATAAGTTTTTTTATTATTGTTAGAATCATGCATAAGACCAATTAGACAGAAGTCTTTTTTAATACAGAAATAGCAAACTAGATGGCATGACTTTCCTGATCATCACTGACTGTGGAAACGTCACACTGGAGCTTGGTTTGTTTCTTTACACGTCCTCCAGATTATGGGATCTTCATTTCCAAATAAAAAGGGCAAAATATACTTGAAAATGCACAGAGAACTTTGAACCATCTAGCTGCAGTTAATTTCTTTTCCTCCTTAGATCAGCTAAGGTGCTTCTGATGTTATCTCTGATTTAAGATTGCCTTAATAGAAAGAGTGTGAGAGTTTTTTTCAGCTTGTTATTGATCCACCCAAACTATTGAATAAAGTTCGCTTTAAAATCCACTCAAACCTCCAATTATCCCTGTTACTGTCCAGCTTTACCTACCACATTTTTTCTTCCACTCGACTTTCCAAAAAGCTGCGTGGATACAGCAGTCTGTAGAGCCTTCGTTAAACGTTTGTGGCTTACCCACCTTGAGGAGGATATTTGTGACTTTTAACCAGCTATCTTCATAATGTGCAGATGGCAACATAAGATTTATGTACTGAAATAGTTTTTTGGTCTTGTATAACACAGTAAATGTTTTTGAATTTATTTTTGTGGTTTTCTTTAACTGTTTGGCATTAATAGCTGTAAAGTAATAGCAGTTAGTTGTGCAGCATGCACTGTATGTATTCAAAGCTGAACAGCAGCGTTCTTGCTTCCAGGTTCAGCAAAAGATTTTGATCATTCAAAACTAAAGTACTCTTAACGTATACTTATCATTTTCTTCTTAGTTTTGACCATGGTAACATTTTGTTTCACCATAAAAGAATATGCACTACGGGGAAAAAAGAGAAATGGGGTGATTTGTAGCCACCCTGGGTGGTACACACCACTGTGGGGTTTTCTCATTCTCGTATTTCATCAAGACTCTCTGAACTTCAAACCAATTAAGAAGTGGATTGTAAAGCAGCATTCCTAGCATGCCTCACCCACTACTCGCATCCTGTTGACCCTTATTCCTTTGTCCAGCTTTGTGTACGGAGAAGTTATCTCACACATTGTTGGTAAAAATCCTAACTAACCACAGACGGATACATTCTTTTACACTTGTACCTTTCTCACACCTCTTGGCCTGATTAGCACATTTGTCAATGTGTTTTTTTCAGGGCACACTTTCAAGTAATGCCCACTTTACTTCTCCTCTCGTCTCTGATTGCACAGATTAAAAAGGGAGAGAAATGTGGTTTGTAAAGCAAGGAGAATTTAACCATTTATCATGAATGCCAAAGTTTGCAATTTAACTGTTTTTTATCTGTCAAACAGTGCGTTACTCAACACTTCTGACTTCATCTTCTATTTTTTGTAGGAGCTCATTGAAGTGGACAGTGAGGTGGTCTTTGAATTAGCCTCCTACATCCTTCAAGTGAGATTTTGTTTTTTGTACAAGTTGATGCTGTATGTATTTGTGTGAATTTATACCATGATATTTATTTGTTTGGTTCTTTCTTAGCCCACACAGCAATTGTGGTATATTATAAAATAGTATAGTATAATATTTTACGGGATGTTGGATGAACATGAAGCAGTTCTATTATAAGTGAAGCGTTTGTTCCCTATTCAAAATGTCTGACCTTTCATAATCTGCTAGTTTCATAATTAACAGATTGAACCCAAATTATCTAATGCGGTTGCCAATCAGTTTTTATTACGTGTGAGAGGGCGCTGTGGGCGTTCAAACTGTCTCGCCTGTAAGTTAATTTTCTTCTGACTAAATCTTTGATGTCATTTTAACATTTTATTTATTTATTTTACTAAATATTACTGCATATAAAATATGCAAAGCTGGCATTAAATATGTTTTTCCATTAAATACATTTTATAATGATTGGTAAAATTACACTCAGGTTCTGTCTTTAACATCAAAACTCTTCTTCCTCCATCCTTCTCTCTCTCTTTCTTGTCGCTCCTTCAGAGTAGGTCAGTCCATTAACTGTGATTATGCAAGGTCATGTTACACAGCCTGGACTGAATGGTTTATATCTCTGTGTGTTTGAGTGGGCTCGCCTCCTGTGTGCAGGTGCAGATGTACAGTATCGGGTATCTCTTCTGCAGAGCTTCAAAGGTTCCCCTCTCAATGGATGTTTAATGTTCCCTCTTTAGTCCAGCAGTGTGGCCTTTTATTACTCATTCACTTCTACAAACAGAACATAAACAGAATTTATGGTTATTGTTCAGTTATAATTCATATATTTCTAACATGTGTTTGTTTTGTTCCACAGGAAGCAAAAGGGGATTTTAGCAGGTAAGCTCCACTGCAGGAACAAAATCCGTTTTGCATATCCAAACTATTCTGTTTACCCTTGTAGTTTTTATTAAGAGAGATTGGGCACTGAATACATGAAAACCCCTAAGACTAACAGTGTTTATAATAATTTTCCTGCAGTTGTAATGTCTGATTTTAAAAGTATGTGCAACACAATTAATCTTCATCAGTGTGCTTTAGCTGGTCATTGTGTAAAAATGTGTCAGAGAGTGTGACTCTCTGTGTGGTGAACCTGAAAGCAGAAGCCAACATGACAGTAGGGATGATGAGTTCAGCTGTTGCTCTGCTCCTCCTGTTGCGTTTTTATCACTCCTCAAGTGACTCACATCCTGTGCAACTCATTTTCTTCTCAAATCGCTTAAGTTATTTAAAAATTTATTTCAATATACAACAATTTTACATTAGATTCACTCATTTGTTAGTCTTTTCTCTATCAAAAGCAAAGCTATGACTTCAAGAGTTATGTTGGAGCTAACTATTAACAGACTTCCTAATGTAAAGATAACTGTTGAAAAATGTGAAACATCATTCATTTTCCTTTAAACTTAAATTGAATTAACTCAGAAGCTGCTGAGCAATATTTTCTGTCATATTTCATTTTGGTAGTGGCCATAAAGTGGATCCTCTTGTCACCCTAAATACACAGCATCCCTGATCCCTGCTTTGTTGTGGTGCTGATAACCGCAGTTACTCCTGTGAAAGAAGCAACTATACAGAGTATCCTACATAGGGCTGGAATGTAACAATCTGGAGACATTCTTTTGATTCGTCCCTCTTTATTCCCCGCCTCTTCCCACACACACAAATTTTACCTTTCTAAAGGTCCTTAAACTCTGTCCTTTGCAAAGCCGTACATTATCACATTTTTATATTAGATTTTTTTATAACTGGCTTTAACTGTAAATCTTTTCTAAAATGATAATTACATTACAATATCCAAATATGTCTGTGATGTTCTGTTTCTTTTTGCTGTAAAAGGGCCAAACTATATCTTTCTTGGAACTGTAAAAATATATTTATGCATTGACTGTTTTCTTATCCATGGTCTACTGCATATTGCAGTAGACTTCTAAAAAAAAAAAAAAAGAAAAAAGAAACCTGGCGTAGCGTTCTTTGACAAAATATTTCTGCCCCTCCAGGTTTTTCTGATTTTCTTGTCATAACTACAAACAATAAGGCATTTTATAGGGACTTTATGTAATATAAAAATGTCCAAATCCATACTGATTGTGATGGTATTATTGTACAATGTCACTTTTACTCTTTAAAAATAAAATGTCTTCCTACATA